TTTCCAAGCTTCGGAGAGTACGTCCCTGGACCGTCATAAACTTCAATATAGTCAAAAGCGCAACCTGTGTCGATGAAAATAGCTAAATTAACAAGGAGCAGGAGTCCTGTACTCAGAAAAAATTTTAACATTTTTGAAAACAGGCACCTGTGTGCGAGTTTTGTCTATAACACACACATTCGAGTTCGTTCTCTGTGCATATCGCGCAGTGCACAAATGAAATCGAAAGCAGTGAGCAGTTTGAATTTTAAAAAAATATTTATGACTCGCGTCAGTTATTATTATTACCATCTTATTTCAACCAAAAGGGAATGTTTCAATTTTGGTGAAAAAACAAGCATTGCATTTAGGAGGCTATAGGAACAGCATAGTCAGCGTATCTTTAAAAAAAGCGTAAACAATTTTCGTTTACCGTTTAAAATCTGACTTAATCTTCTTCATGGCTTTGTCGACACCACAAAACCATCATTAGGAAAAGTATAGACGTCTTCCAAAACACATTGTACTCTTAAGAGCGGCGGATACGTCCACCACGTGGTCATTGCGCGGCCAGGTCAATGCGTTGTTATCTTTGGCGAAGCTTTTTCTCACACAGTGCGTCTCGTCACTCAAGGGAATCAATAGACATAGTCAGGGAAATGAATAAAGGAGATAAGTTTCTAAGGAAACTGTGGCGCTGCGTCGGTGGGAGAGTATAACAGGGTAATTTAGTGTTAACAACTGAGTTGATAATGTAAATTGGCCGTCGTAAAGAGTTTAAAAGTTGACGTTTCGAGCGTTAGCCCTTCGTCAATCGCTCTGACGAAGGGCTAACGTCCGAATAGTCAGGGAAACCCGACCAAAGGTCGAAACGTGACCCTAAGCCATAGCACAGAACCCCCATCTTGATGGTAGAGGCAAGACTTCTGGAAGCTCAATGCAACTGAAAGCGGATTGAACTCCAAACGAGGAAAGGTTTCATGAGGAAAATTAGTGTCTGGGTAAGACATTGAGATCTAAATATATCTTATTGACATCATATATGTAATTTGGATATAACTGACTTTTATGTATATCAGTCCAACTCGTTTCATATAGCCTGGATCCGCAAAGATAACTTGACTGATTGATTGACTGAAAGATTGATTGATAGAGGTGAAAGAGAGAGGGTTAATACTATAACCCGAAACCGTACCTGCCTTTTTTGCATAGCGTAATTTAAGAGAGAATGTCAGCATCCATCGAACAAATTTGAAATATTGTGGCAAGTCGCCCAAAATTCGTTTTCTCTCCTACTTTCATATTTTGTAGCCCAATATGTTCTAATGATTGTGGTGTAGTTTTTTTTGCGAAAATATATTTCAGTTTTCGAGAAATGACTTTTTTCGTTCGACCGCTCAAATATGCAAATTTTCACCGTGAATATTACCCGAGTTGTGTGACCTCATGTATCGAATGTACTAGACCTACGGTATTTCTGTGAACATATTCCTTTGTTTTATTATCTGAACTTAATCCCCTGTCGTTATTGAAGCTGCCAAAGAAATATTTTTTTTTGGTGAATATTTTTGTCCGACATACTTTTCCTATGTCGAAAAGTAGCATTAAAACAAAGACAGTTTTAACAATGACCGATATGACACAATCTACTGAGCTTCAAGCTTTCATAAGACCAAAGGATGGTTATAAAGTTACTGTAAAAATTTCCTTGTGTATTTGTGTTGTTCTTTCTTGAGACGAACTCAAAGTCCGGTAAAATTGACTTGATAGCAACTATGAAATGTACATGGTGGGTCTACTTGTCGCCACCGTTAATTGGCGTAAATCATTACAATTTGTACAAAAGTCTAACATAACACTCTTATCTTGTTTATTTATGATTTTATTAGCCGTTTCGATTATTATATTACGCCTGGGTATTACTTTTTGAAAGGAGCTCAGGTTTTGCGTTGTGATTCCCCCTCCCTCATTTATATCATAAGCTAGTCACGCAATAGTAGATACCGACACAAGCGAATATTTACCATTTATAAAGATTTTATTTACGTTAAATTGAAAATATTAAAATATGTGCTTTCTTCACTAATCGTTGTTTCAGCAGCAGCGAAGCAGTTAAAAGCGGGTCGTTGCTTCAACGCTACTGAAATTTTTAGTATTCAGACAGGCGAGCAAAGCGTGATGCTCTGGGAATAAAAACTTTTAGGGGCCTTTTACATGATATTCGAATGGGTTTTGTACAAGAACGAGTTCATACCGGTTGCCACATAATAACCAGCGTAAAACTTATTCGAAATGAGTCATTTCTGAATGAGTTTATTGGGGTTTTCATTACATAACGAAACACTCATTCTGGACGACCTTTTCTACCTGTACAATGTAAACGCGGCGCGGCTCTCATATTTGTATGAATCCTCTGAGGGAGCGAGGGAAGCATTGAAAAAGACAGAAAGGGACATAAAGACTTGTTTTTACAGGCTAATTGTTGCCACTCCCAGACGGATAAGACTTAAGCACTTTTTATGATTTTATAGCGGTCGTTTTCGAAATTCCAGGCGCCCACCCTCGCCCTTTTATGCAAAAGGGTCCCCCGGGGGTGCTAATACGTGCAGCACACTTGACATTTAGCAAGCACAAATTCTGATGTGATTTTGGCAAAGAGAAACATATTTTGTCAGTGTCTAGTCACGGAAGGGCCCTTTACCACCGTGTGCATAATTACGCGTCCCCCCAGACGGCGGAGAGCCAACAAAGTGTTCAGACATAACTTCAGAAAACTCCGCCTCTGACTGAATTTTTGGTAGCCTATTGGCCAATTCCCAATCGAAACTTAATTTTGACGTCACGCGTAATTTTTCTCACGGTGGTAAGTAGCCTACTTACCGAAGCCAGATTGTATGAATTTTCCAGACATCTTGAGTACTATCTGTGATACACGCTTGCCAATTCCCCTATCAGCTTTTGGAATCGACTTAACCCTCCCTTCACCATGGCCGGACATTTCTTTTGGCACCCTACATCTGGTATTGGAACTACGATTCCACCCAACACCGAGATTTGATCAGTGAGTGGGGCAATTTGTAAAATCATCGACATCTTTTGGCGTCTCGAAGATGCCGGTGTCAAAGCGGATTTGGACCCCCGGTCCAAATCCTCTAGCGGATATGGACCCCCCTTCGCAGATTTGGACCCCCTACCAAACTTTCCTTTTTAGCATCCTTTGTATCATATTTGGTAACTAATTTTATTTGCAAGCTTTTTGTCGATGTTCTTTTCAATCACAACACAACATTCCTTAATAAAGGTTAAAAAAAAAAAAACCGGCTATTTCGTCTCAGTTCTACCACATTTATTATAGCGAGTCGTACAGTATAAGCAAGAATTAGATGTGAACAAACTACTGCATTCGAACTATTGAAATAGTTACAATTAATCTTTGCTTCTTCTGATGCGAATCAACATTGGTACGAAACGTCATAACAATAGTGGAGACTATTGCGTCCAGTCATAAAAATAACTCAGTCTGATTTTCTAAAATAATAACATTAAATAGTTTCTGAACAAGGACGAAGAAACTAATCTTACTACAAGTCGTTCGTAAAGCCTATGATAAGTAAAATGTTTCTACTCTGAACTATTGGAACTCTCAGCTTATTTTCAGATGCAAATCAACTTTAATGTCTACGTCTTAACCAAACTGGAGACTATTACATCGAACTCAATCTCATTTTCTAATTTTAACGATTATTAACTGTTAAGGGTCCAAAATAACACCTTACCAATTACGAAGACGTCTAGAGTCTGGCGATCTGCAGACAATGCAAAGCCACTCGCCCTCCGGGGCAGTCTTAAATCTCTCGAAGCTCATGTGTAACTATAATAATCGTATTCGAAACTCCGTTAAACGTGTTTATTTTGTAAGAATCACTCATACTTCTCTCGATTGAAAAACACTGAGACTCTTAGAACGAAATCAGGATCTTATTACAAAAAACGCACGTGATCAAACCGGTTAAACAAGAATATGTCGAACAAAACGCAGTGTCCGAAGTCACTGATTAACTTAGTTATAAAACAGTGTGAACGATTTTTGCAGTAACCATTCCCCGCACAACTCGCACTGTACCATGTTGTCCCATCACTCGGGCATTGAACAATAACAAAATAAATTAGTGTAACAAATTTGTCCCTCATTGAATCTAGCGGTGTTTTCGACTATCGCGGAAAAGGTTCAAAAACGACCTGTCTCCTGACATTAAACTAAATTCTTGCCCATTTTCCCTTGGTCAAAAGAAACATCCAACGGAATGCCAGTTCGTATGCATTAACAATACGCATGTTTTGAATTAAAAACATACTTTAGTGTGCACTGAAACGTAAAGTATCATCCATTTTTACTAGAACGTTAAGGATGATGTTTTCACATCATGTAATTTGTGATAATCGGTATTGACACAAATTAATATTTTGCCGACACGGAACAGAGAACTGGGTGCGAGCGTAGTACGCGAAGGCTCATGGGTAGTATGTTTGTAAGAAGAGACCGTTGAGAAACTTGTGGCATTCTACGGTCAGCCTTGCCACTAGCACTTTCCCATAAGGTTTATTTTTTGTCTTCATCACTTTTCCTTGCCTAGTTATGGACGAAGCAGGCGTCAGGAAAGTAATTGCTGAAAACAAAAGAGATCTTATCGTTCAGATCAAAGATCTCGTAAATACTTCGATTTCTGACCTCAAGCGTTCTAACGAATCTATCGCTTCCCAGCAGATGTCAGAGATTAAAAGGTTGAAACGCGATTCCGTTCCTCACTTCAACAAAAAGAGCAACGAGGAGCAGTACAAAGCTAACAAAGCTATTAAAGATGCTGTTGAAGACGCCCAGATTGCCCTCGAAAGGAACGACGTCGAGAAGATCAAACAAGCCTTGGATAAAGGTATGGAGCTACTTCAAGAGCGTCAAAAATTAATTTTACTGGCTGATAAATCACAGTACGGGTGGAAGACGGTCCTCGAATACAAGCACCATGATCTCGCAGACGACGAAGAAGATGAGAAAAAAGATATACAGGGCCGTATCCAGAGCAGCTAGGTCCACGAAGCGTTTCACATCTCGCTCGACCCGGCAAAGAAGTAATGTTACATCGACTTCAACAACTCCGCAGTTTTCCGCCTCACAGCTGCCCAATTTGTTTTCGCGCGTAAACCCGCAGCTTTCGTCTCAGAGATCGTCTTCTAGTTTGTGCTTTGCTTGTGGCAAACCCGGGCGTTGGAGGGCTTTCTGCCCTAATTTGCGGTTTGATGTTCCTTCTAATACCGGTCAGAAGCCCAAATGACTCATTTCGGACGTCGATTTGGAACAAGGCCTTGTTCATGAGGATAGCGATGAATTAATTTTTCTTCGTATCAATGGAAATTCTTTCGAGGTTAAATCCGGCGATGATTACTCGTCCGTTAAAGGACGGCTACGTGGAGCCCTCGCTCTCTGGAACGACATTCACGCCCCTCAATTTATCCTGGATGTTATTGATTATGGCTATAAATTACCGCTTCTCCAAATTCCTCCGCCCTTCACAGCTAAAAATAACAGTTCGGCTTTGGAGCAGCCAGCTTTTGTCGAAAGTGCCATTAACAATCTCTTTATCAACGGTTGCGTCACTGAAGTGTTTGAAGCTCCTGTTATCATCAATCCTTTGTCCGTATCTGTTCAAAAATCAGGCAAAAGGCGTCTAATTTTAGACCTTCGCCACGTTAATCAGTTCCTTTATAAATGCCGATTCAGGTGTGAGGATTTGTCTATTGCGAAAGAGGTTTTGAATCCTGGAGATTTTATGTTTACTTTTGACTTAAAGTCTGGTTACCATCACGTGGAAATATTCCCGGAGCACAGGAAGTACCTATCATTTGCGTGGACTTTTTCCTCAGGACGCACCAGATTTTTCCAGTTTTCTGTTCTTCCGTTTGGCCTCAGTTCCGCGCCTTATTTATTTACTAAACTACTCAAGCCTTTAGTCAAGAAATGGAGATCTGAAGCGAAGTCGATCCTGGTTTATTTGGACGATGGTCTCGGAGCTGCTGCGGACAAGAATAAGGCAAAAATCGCTAGTCTCCAAGTACATGCAGATCTACTTAAATCTGGCTTTCTTCCTAATGAAACCAAATGCGTTTGGGAGCCCACTCAGGTTATTACTTGGCTCGGAGCCGTTCTCAACACTTCCACTTCTGAAATTTCTGCCACTGCTAAGCGAATTACCAGTTTACAAGAAGATTTAGCGGCCCTTTTGGCCATTCCCTCGTCTTGTCATCCAGTTCGGAAGCTTGCCTCTGTTTGCGGAAAAATAATATCTCTTGGCCCCTGTGTTGGTAATGTCTCTAGGCTTATGTCTAGAAATTTATTCGCAGTCATCAATACCGCGCCAACCTGGAACTCTTACGTTCGTCTTTCGTCTGAAGCTCTGGCTGAGCTGTTTTCTGGAAGTCTAATGCGGCAAGTCTTAACGGCATACCTATTTGGTCTGTCAGGCACAAGCCTTCGAAGATCGTCTATTCCGATGCTTCTGGCTCAGCTTGCGGCGGTTTCATCGAGTTCGAGGGGAAGATGTTCCATCAAAACTGGTCAGATTTTGAGAAAGCTCAAAGTTCTACATTCAGAGAGTTGTTAGCCGTGTCTTTATCAGTGAAAGCCTTCGTGAAGTCATTGAGAGCCCAAACAGTCACGTGGTTTACGGATAATCAGAACGTTGTCCGGATCGTTAATTCAGGGTCTAAGACTCCAGCATTACAAGAGCTTGCAATGGATATCCATCGTAGTTGTTTGCTTAGTGCTATTAACATCGATATGCAATGGATCCCAAGAGACCTAAATAGTGCGGCGGACGATATAAGCAATTTCATTGATTATGACGACTACACGATCAACGATACGGTCTTCAGTGCTCTTGACGACTTATGGGGTCCACATACCTGCGACAGGTTCGCTTGTTCCTACAATGCCAAAGTCCAATGCTTTAATTCTAGGTTTTACCAGTCTGGTTCGAGTGGCGTTAATGCGTTTTCTCAGGATTGGTCTCATCATAATAACTGGCTGTGTCCCCCTGTGTATTTAACGTGTAAAGTTATTAAGCATATGGAGCTGTGCTGTGCTCAAGGAACTCTGATCGTTCCCCTTTGGAAGTCAGCCCACTTCTGGCCCATCCTGTGTTCGGATGGTTTCCATTGGAGTACATTTATCCATGACTGGGTTATCCTGCCTAACTTTCCTAATTTGTTCTTTAGAGGAAAAGCTAAGAACTCTATTTTTGGTAGTAAGCCATTGGCTTTCGTTTCGTTAGCTCTACGTCTTGACTTTAGCATCATTCCCAGATTAGATTCCGAGTTATCTCGTAAAAGCTTTCTAGTTCCTTGTGTTTGATTCCATTCGGGCTAGAGTTCGCTGCTGTTTCCACTATGTACCGATAAGGCGTATTATATTGGCGCGAAGTACTTATTATTTGTTGATAATCATTTTCTAAGTTAAACGTGTTAGGCCTTAGAGAGGCATCCAGGAGAGGCCCTAGAGGGGCGATTTGTCATATGTATTTTCATTTTGTGCCCTAGAGGGGTATTTTCTGTTGGCATTGTGCAAACGCCCTAGAGGGCTATGTCCACTAGAATAGCATGGTTTTTTCTCTTGTATCGTTTTACGCAGAAGTGTATTGCCTGATTGGCGAAGTGGTCTTCCTGAGTGAAGACAGTGAGTTAAATGTAAAGTCAGCATTGTGTGCATTGCTGCCTGTCTCAGTGATATTTTTTTTTTCTTAATATTTGTCCTTTTTCTTTTTTTTTTTTTTTTTTCTTTTTTTTTTTTTATCCTTAGATATCTTCACTTCCGTTTTCTGGTCTTCAGAGGCCCAAAATTCCCCGAGAGTGGATCAGCTAATGGAGAATCTCAAATCTACCGTGCTTGCTTCCAGAGCGTCTGGGACATTCGCAAATTACTTGAGGGCGTTTAACAAGTGGAGACCCTTTGCTAGTGATGTCTTGGGTACCTCGGAGTTTCCAGTCAGACCAATCGATTGTGCCCTCTACTTGCAACACCTCCTCGAGTCGTCCAAGTCCGTCGCTTCCATCAACTGCGCCTTTTACGCGTTCAAGTGGGTACATCTTCTTGCAGGCGTCGACTCTCCAACATTACACCCTACTGTTATTGCCGTAAAGGAAGGAGCTGCTCGCCTTGCCAGTCAGCCAATAGTCAATAGAAAGGAGCCCCTGGACGCCCACCATCTCAAGGTCCTTGCTGCAGAGACTAATCTAGAAGACCTTTTACAATTACGAAATTTAGTTATGTTCATTCTCGCATTTTCCGGTTTTCTTAGAAGTTCCGAGTTATGCGTTATGCGTAGCAGAGATGTTCAGTTTAACGAGGGTTACATTACAATCAGCATAGAGAAAAGCAAGACGGACCAACTGAGGGAGGGCAGGTCGGTCGTTATTGCCGAGTCCTCATCTATCACGTGTCCCTGTTCTTTACTTAAGCTGTATATGCATAAGGCCCAGATTCCTGAAAATTCAGACGAGTATCTTTTTAGGGCCATTTCAGCTTCGGGCAATCACAAGCGCCTTATCTCTGTAAACAAGCCGATTTGTTATTCTACCTATAGGCAGTCCTTTAAGAAGTCTTTCGCGAATATTGTACCAGACATCTCTAAGTATAGCACTCATTCAGCTAGGTCAGGTGGAGCTACTTTAGCTGCCAGCTCTGGCATTTCGGAGAGGAATCTTCAGCGCCATGGTCGCTGGGCCTCAGTCACAGCAAAGAACATTTATGTTAAGGATTCTCTTTCCAGTAGGCTAGAAGTTTCCAAGGCTCTGTTTCTCTGAGCTCAAGCCCTACCTTTAGCTTTCTATCTTGGGCCTAGCTGACCAACGCGCCCATGCCTCAACCTTTGAGTGTGTTCGGTTGTGTAGTGAAGGCAAAATACATTGTTTTGTTGGGGGGTCCAAATCCGCGGAGAGGGGTCCATATCCGCTAGCAGATTTGGACCGGGGGGTCCAAATCCGCTGGGACACCGGCACGCGACAAAACAAGATCAACTTCATTTTTCTGGATCTGAAAACTTGCAACTCCGCAAGTGACATGAAATGTCTTTTTAACAATCACGCAAGGGAACGACTTGGTCTTCTCGATAACTAAACACATAAGTTCCACCAGCGAACGATTTAACTAAATAGCAAATCTCTATGTTAGCATGTAAGATGAGACGCTTATAAAACAGATCAGTTAGCTAAATCAATATGTAGATTGTCAATCAAATTGACCACTGTAACCATACTTTGACTTCAGCCGGCAAAGGATACATGAGGTCACACAACTCGGGTAATATTCACGGTGAAAATTTGTATATTTGAGCGGTCGAACAAAAAAAATTATTTCTCGAAAACTAAAATATATTTTTGCAAAAAAACTACACAATTATTAGAACATATTGGGCTACAAAATACAAAAGTAGGAGGGAAAACAAATTTGGGTGACTTGCCGCTGTTTGTTTGATGCATGCTGACATTAGCTCTTAAAACCTTTGGATTCCCTTGAGGAATCTGAATGAAATCTCAAAAAGAGCTGAGGATCGGAGGACTCCATGGTATCAGGTGTCTCGCTTACACACAGCTTGTCCAGTGGGTTGGCGGTGTCTGATTCACCGTCATAATTTCTAGATAATCGTAAATACAGTTTTTACTTGTTTCAAGCTTCAATAAAAAAGAAAGAAAACTTCCCCATTGTACGGTGGCCCACAACTGTCACGGCAAAACAAAAAGTCACGGCAAAACAAAGAAAACGAGTTGGTCAGCGGTCGGTCAGCGGTTGTTATCTGCATCTGAAATGGTATGTCGTGTAACAGTAACAGTAACACACTGCTCGCTCGAAAAACCGCCATTTTTCGAGTTTGCTCACAGAGCACTTTGATTCGAGCTCACGATGTTTTGTACCGCGTGTGGTTCGGTAGTGAATGAAGATGCAACTTTTATAAAAGCTGTGGTAGAGGTACGTTTCTTAATTTAAAGTGTTCGTATTTGCATTTCTTTTAGTTCCAAATAACGATAGGCGTGAGAGGACGCTGCTTCAAATTAGCTGATTAGCATGTTTCATAATGTAATTCATAAATAAAACATTCATAATGTATAGGCCTTGATGAAATAAGGATTTTTCAACAGGTGGAAAAATACTGTACGCCTGCAAACGGTCAGAGAACACGAGGTTAAAGGCCAAATCATACCTGATTATTTCCAAAATCATTTATCTTGAGTTTTATTGATGTTAAACAGACTTATGGAAATAACGCTGTTTAAAGTAAAGTTTCCTCTGAGGTGTAAGATACATTATTTTGCTCATTGTTTTTTTTCCACCTGTTGAAAAATCCTCAATTCATCAAGGCACATACATTATGAATGTTTTCTTTTTACACACAGGCTACATGCACAATCTTATTCCAGACACGTGCTAATCAGCTAATTTGAAGCAGTGTCTTCTCACGCCTTTCATTATTTGGAACTAAAAGAAATACAAATACGAACACTTAAAATTAAGAAACGTACCTCTACCACAGCTTTTACAATAGTTTGTATCTTCATCTACTACCGAACCACACGCGGAGCAAAACATTGTGAGCTCGAATCAAAGTGCTCTGTGAGCAAACTCGTGAATTGACAGATGACTTATATGATTTTTTGGATTATGTTTAATGTTATCTGGTTTAGGGAATTTTGCGGTTGATTCTCATATTTAGAGTACGAGCAGTAGTTCAGTGTTGGCTAATGTAGCAAAGAAACAAATTAGCATTGGGATAAGAAGGCATTACAATTGAAATGATCATGCTCTTATATTTGACAAGGGTGGATGATGTCATGTGTTTTAAACATATCATTTTTGTTTCTGGTTCAAAAGAAAAGGTTGGAAGTAAATGTGGGTGAAAAGTAAAATTTACTGTCTATCATTGTAAATATTGGAAAATCAAGGCAATACTGTCTTAATGAAAACATTAATGATTCCCTCTTTATCAAATGAGACAAACGGGAACGAGTTTTGAGTGATATAACTAAGCCCAGACTGTTACCGTCATTTTGGATTTCCGCCTGGGTAGATTTTGGTCACGTGCCAGGCAACGTATAATCGAGAACAAGATAGAATTTCACTTCAGCCCTATTTATCAATTTTGTGGTGTATAACTTTCGTATTTTAGTACGTAATATTTATTTTGAATCTTCAAATTGTCTTGAAACTTAAAAGAAAATTTGTCCTTTAAAAATTCATTAAAGATCGGTAGCCAAAATTATTTGTTTAGGTGTTATTTGATTTTCGTGTCAACCTGTAATTTCGTTAGTTGCTGGCAGCTTTTGTTGCTTCACACGGAAAAAACACACGATACGAAATGAAGTGATCGATTTTGTTCCCAATCTCACGCCATAAAAGAAAAAGCTTTTGAACATCTGTAAACTCTGAGCGCTTCGGAGAAAGTGATAATTTTAATGACTCTTCGGATTGTTTTCAAGTTCAAGGACTGTAAATTACAATTTTACGAAAAACAAAGGTTGTTCTCTTATTTCATTGCGAATCCTGGCACGCCTGCCAGTCGCTGGCGCCGCTTGTTGAAACTAAAACGAAAAAATATAAACTCTTTTAAGATTATCATTGGCTTCTTTTTCACCCCACCACTATTCTTAATAACAAAGGTCGCCATTCCGTTTGTTGACTGTTACACGACGTACAATTTCAGATTCAATAACAACTGCTGACCAACCGCTGATCAACTCGTTTTCCTTGTTTTGCCGTGAGTTAATTTTGTTTTGCCGTGAGTTAATTTTGTTTTGCCGTGAGTTAATTTTGTTTTGCCGTGAGTTAAGTTTGTAGTGCCGTCACTTTTTGTTTTGCCGTGACAGTATGAGGTTCTTTCACGGGCAAAATTTCGAACATGGATACATTAATGTTTTGATCAATTACGTTATTGTTATGCGTTAGAATACAAGTCTTAAAATGAAATAAGTCAATTTCATCCGGAATACATCGATTTTGGATGTCATACATCGATGTTGTGCAGCATACATCGCTTTCCTGACTCATTCACGCGTGACCTTATATAATTAAAAGATGTTCAATAAAACTAAAAGGTGAGGAAGCGGAAATAGAAATGACCGGAAGTCAGATTAAACAAGAAGCCCCGGAAACTAACATTTTCAAAATGGCGGAAATGGAGGCAGACGATCAGTGAAGTTTGAGAAGCACTATGCAAGGTGCACGGATTTGGCTGCCCAACATCGAAGGATTTTTTACTTCTTTGGGTAGGCTACTGGAAAGTGCAGAAGGGCAAAGGAACACTGCGTCCTACGACTCGGCTGAATTTTTTTAGTCGCCGTTTACGAGAAAACGAAAGAACTCTTGTCACTTTGACTCTAAGAATAGTATTCAGGAATCTATTCGAAGAGTGGATCCAGTTCTTCGCACTATAAGAGCAGCGCAGCAGATAATTCGTAGAGTGTACAGTGTGCCATGCCCCAATGCGTTATGGTAAAGTAAAAGAATTCGTTGAAGCGCTATTTAGTTAACACTACCTTATTTTTAACGAGTCTCTGTTAAAGAGGTCTCTTTTTTTAACGGGCCCCCCTACACCATTAGAGCCCACCACCCCTCTTTTCAAAATAGTCAGGCAGTTTGTTATTTCTCTAGGGACAACACCCCTCTGGGGGGACTCCTGTATAAAAAGGACAGGAATGCTTGTCATACTTTTTAGGGTTTAAAAATGCAGGGTTGGTACCTCTTATGGTGGTCAGTTCCAAAAGGTCCACAGCGGGAGCTTTTGCGCTACCTCTTAGGTAGGGTCTTGAACAGAAAAAAATGACAGCTAGAGTTAACTGTGTTGTTTCAGAATTGTTTCCTCTTAGGGGTGAAAAGTATATTAAGCTATGCCCATAAAACAGGATCTTGGTACTTTTTCAGAGTTCTTTTCAAAATTTGCGACAAGCACTCCTTTCCTTTTTATATGGGAGTTCCTTCCACACAGGGGCAACACTGGTTTAAATCTGTGATGCAAGGGAGGTCAGGCTGTAATTTTGATGCATGAGTATTAATGCCAATTCAACTCATGATTTGAGATACCTCCCAGAGTTCTATTTAGCCCCCTCACTAATCACCCTAACCCAGTTTCCCAGCCCCCACCGTCCCCTGATATTATGCTCAAAATTCCTGACTATCATGCCTGTTACTCATGGGTGGTCAAAAATGCCTCTTGTTGTTGTCTTCATGGTGTCCAAAAGGCACATTGATGGCTACTACAAATTAATCCAGCCATACAAAATTATCCTTCATGGTGGTTTAGATGGTTTTTCAAGAATGATAGTATTCCTTTAGGCATCAACCAATAACAGTGCTTTAACTGTACTGCAGTATTTCCAGTCAGCTGTTGAGCACTACAATTTACCATCAAGAGTTCGCAGTGATCTTGGAATGGAAAACATAGAAGTTGCTCGCTTCATGCTGCAAGAAAGAGGTCTAAATAGAGGCAGCCACATCACTGGAAAATCTGTTCATATCTAGAGAATAGAGCACCTCTGGTGTGATGCCAACTGGGTTATTGTGAGCCGCTTTTCGAACATTTTCCTCTTTCTTGAGCACAGTGGAATTTTAGATCCAACAGATGAGGATTCTGATGTATTCATCTAGTCTACATTCCACTGATTAATAATGCAATTAACCAATTTATCGGTCAGTGGAATAATCATCCTGTAAGCACATAATGCAATTTCTCTCCCAATCAGCTCTGGATACAAGGAATGCTACATTTCAGAAATTCTGGGTATAAGGCTGTGACAGATGTGACTGCCAGCAAGGC